GATCTGTCCGGAGTGCTGAAAAGGCTGGCGAAGGCTGGAGACTTTGTGGCATGTGCATTAACCTGATGAGTTCAGGGAGCAGAGTTTTCAGATCCCCAACCAAAGAGCCTTTTAAACAGAAATCACATCCATAAAGGACAGAAATGGTCACAACTGATTCTTAAATGTGTAACTACAAAGATATACAGGAGAAATTAAAGAAGAAAATTTCCTGTGCGTCATGAGGGAAATAAGGAATACAAAGCACACTTAACAAGAGGCAGCATGCCCAAACACTCCCGACACTCAAAGAATGTCTAGAATGTTGTATAACTAAGAGGATTCCACAGAAAACTGCAGCTTCTTCCCACTGGGCGGAGGGGATGCACGTAGTACAAGGCAACGCTTGCTTGGCTGCCTCACATGGCCAGTGGCCAGCATCAAGGATACAGATTAGCTCTAGCTCAGTCTCTAGGGACTCTGAACAATAGAGCAACATGTAGGGAATGAAGAAGAGGGTGGAAGGGAGACTCTGCCTTCCCACTGGCCTGTGCCAATTGCTTAGCGGGAAGTAAAGTGTTGGAGAATCTATCTGCCTGGCTACTCAAGTTTATAGTTCAGCTGAGGCATAACCAACATTGTGCCTAAATAAGCACAAAGGCCTGTTAACTTCTCCTCAATTTCCCATCACCACAGCACCTGCTCCGGAGGGAAATGGGGGCTGTAGGAATTCCAGCACCAGTTCTAAGGGCCCTCTCGGCTGACTCTGCATGACCCTTTGTGAGGTCCCAAGTACAGTGGTAGGCTCTGGGCAAGGGCTAGCTGCGGGCCTGCCCCAGGTTGGGTTCATTCCCCTGGGTGAAGTCGCTGTAGCCTGGGTGCCCTGCTCGCCATGTCGCTCAAGCTGCCACACTGGGGTAACTAGCAGGCTTTGTGTCCGAAGGGAAAGGTACATCCATGGGGGAGGGAAAAGCGGGAGGACTCAGACGGAGGTTTAGAAAGAGGCTCGCTAGCCTGTTGGAAAAAGCCGTGCTTTCAGCACCACCCGCTGTCCCCACTCTTCCGCAGCAGGCGCCAGGGTCGCAGCAGCTAACCGAGCTCTCTCGGGAAGCGACTCTCCTTCCTTCCCCTCTCTACCTGGGCTTCTCTCCATTCCGAGGGATCCCTTGGGTGGTTTGGGGCAGCTCAGCCTGCATTCTAAACATGCGCGCCTGGCTTAGGGAGCGGGAACTCGGATCTGAAGGCATGCAGGATCCCTTTCCCAACCTTTGCAGTACTTCCCTCCTTTACCCTATCGCTTTCACCTTTTCTCCCAACAGGTTTAACTAAGGCAGCTGCAAATGGAGCGGACTTCAATCTCCAGTTCTGACCACCCCTCCTCCTCCCCTCCCCCTCCTCCCTCCCCCAAACCAAACTGTGAGTTACCCAGCAAACTGACAGCTGCTACATCCTTCCCGCCCCGGGGACTCTTGGGCACGGGGACACTAGCAAGCTTACCCCCCAGTTGGCCACGCCACGGGCAGTGAGGTGCGGTCTAGCTAGCCCCCATAAAGTTGGGCCTTGTGGATCACAGGGGCAGAGCCGGCTTCTCCAGTTTCTTGTTCCCCCCAAGTAGATCTTAAGCTCATCTCCTGAGCTCAGTGAGCGCCGAACAGCAGAGCTGAGGGCGTTGTGTGCAGCAATGTCCCTGCTACTGAGAAAGGGGGGAAGGGGGAAGGGGAGAGCGCGGAGGAGGGGGGGTGGTAGTTTGTATTTATAGAGAACAGAGTTCTCAGCACAACTTTTTGGTGCCACCAAGTGGCACAGTGAGTTCCTTTAGGAACACAGACTTGGGGTTGAGTCTGGATAAGGTAAGCCAGCTCCACTGCCAGCTGCTCACATGGGGGACTTGAGGTTTCCCATGTGCACCTTCATATCTCAGCACCTGGGATGCAGATCCCTAGGTTCTAAGCCTGCACCTGTGGAAGGGGTGCCTGTGCCCTTTTCAGACAAGTGCCAGAGGCGTCGGGAACACTGGGCAGATGCCAGTCCCCGCCGAGGAGTCTAGCCACCCTTCTCTCAGAAAGGATATCCGTTCCCTTCTCCCTCCTGAACCCTCTGCCCAGATTACAGTCTCCTCGGATCTATTTCTAAAACCTTCTTCCTCCACCCTTAGTGCGCAGTCTTTAAAGTAGGGTGCCATTGATTTTCCTTGTGTTCGAATAGATTCCAAATTCTTTCCCAAGCCCTCACATTTAAAGAACTTCACAGCTTGCTACCAAACCTCCTTCTTGAATTGCTACCTTGAAAAAAAAAAGCATGTGATTTTAGCTCTGTGGATCGGAACCCCTCCAAACAGCACTCAGAACTCCAGGTTCCCTTGGCTACGGCTAGGTGTCCAATTGTCCTGCTCACCCATTTCTACAGACCTCCCGGCACGCATGACACCAACCGCACAACCAGGAGCTTACAAATGCCTTTGACACTTGGAGGGGAAATGCCCTGAAACTTCCATGATCTGGATTTTCTGGGTGCTCTTCCTTTCTTGTATACAGATCCTCAACGCCATACAGTCACGGTTACTGCCTGGGACCTTAGTGTTCCAAAACACCGAACAACATCTACACTTTGCAGATGGAGTAACTGAATACACAAAGGTTAAGGAACGTGTTCAAGGTCACACATTTCCCTTGACTCCAGCCCAGGGACCACCCAGGGGGCAACTGAATGAACACAAAGATACCAAACCTGACTCCAGGCTCCTGCTCCTCTTCCTCCCAACACAGCCCCTTCAGGCATATTCACTCCCTTCTCTTCCCTCTCTCTCTCTCCCCACATCCCTCTCTCGGACCCCATCCTTTGCCAAAGTTCCATAAAGGAATCTAGAGTAAGGATGTCTCCCTAGCCCCATTTGGAGTACATGAACTTGAGCTCAAAGGGCCAGAGTTGCATGTAAACCCCCTTAAAATGGCCCCCTGCTCTAGAAAACCTCTTCCTCCCGGTAATGTAGTCATGGAAGTGTCATTTTATAAAGGGAACACTGGCATTCATCCCCAACAACGTCCCCTGCTTGCTGCCTCTTTTCCGGGGGAAGCAACAGCAAATGCTTCTATAATAGCCCCCCTCCCAACACCCAATAGCCTCAAAGACAGCGCAGCCCCCCTCCCTTGATAAATGCACCCCTTTGTGCACATGCATCGGTATGAGAGTGAGAGAGAGCTCGGTGTCCAGACGCCTCCTTTGGTCCCGATCTCTATTTTCTTTTTCTCCTCTGATATTTTTCAGTTCGTTTTCTATGGAAACGAGCCCACTTGAATCCCTCACTCGTGCAAAGAAGAGCAAAATGAGCTTCATCCACCCTCTCATTGGAGCGACACGGCGGTAGCTGGGGCTCCCGACTCGAAAGGCAGGTCTGATCCCCACCGCACACGTCCTTGCGGGGTGACTTTTCTAAACTTGCAGGACCTCCCAGAGTCCCTGGCTCCACCGGTTCTCCACCTGCCCACCACCTGCCCGGCTGGGTCCGCGGCCCGCGCTCCCGCCCCCGGCCGGAATGCTCCCAGCCCCGCGCTGGGGGAGGGGCTCCGACACAAGGCTCACAAGAAAGAAAAACCGCGCGGTGCTTACCAGCTGCGCACCCTGAGCCGGGCGCCCCGGGCTAGCGGCTCCCCGCGGGCTTTCCTGCGCTCGGGGAGCGGCCTCGGCGGCGACGGGAGCGCTAGCGGCGACGATGGAGGCGGCGGCGGCGGCGGAGAGCGCGGGGCCCGCGACGATGGCGCTCGCTCCTCTCCCGCGCCAGCGCCGGGAGCACGTGCCGCACTCGAGCGGGCGCAGCCTGGAGCGCAGCGCAGAGCCGGCTCCCGCTCCCGCAGCGCGCAGCGGGACGACCGGGGCGCAGGCTCCTCGGGGGACAAGTGTCTGGAAGCCTCCTCGTCTCGGGGTGCGGACGAGGGTAGCCTCGGGCTCCCTCTGCAGCTCCTCTGCTCCCCTCCAGGAGCCGCGGAAGAAGAGCTGTGTGGGGAGGCGTGGGTGGCGTGTCACTCAGAGAGAAGCTGGGGGAGCAGGTACAGAATAGGCTTCTCTCTGACGGGGGCACTCGAACCCCTGACGGTGTTGGGGAGAAGGGGCGTCACTGCCGGAGGGCAGAGAAAAATCAGGAAGCCCGGAAACCCGTAGTCAGAGGTGTGAGCGGTTGGAAAGGACGGTCTCTTTCATGGCATTACTTATTAATAGTGCCATTTTGCATGTCTGCACTTCTTACAAACCATTCTTTCTACGTCCATTAAAATTTCTCCCTCCGAAGCAGTTAAATATCTTTTACTTCCTCACATGACTTTGCTTCCCTTCTCCCACCACCCCTATAACTCACCGAGACTGTAAATAATAATAATAATAATAAATTCTGAGTTAATCTTTAAATCCAAAAACACTTCATTTCTACCTCTGAAAAAGAGGCCGGTATAAATCAGTTGCATAGCTTAATTGAAAGAACAGAAAGGCATTGCACGATATGATTGTTATGATACACGTTATATCTCCCTCCTGAATTTGGGGAGCCAGGTGTTGCAGCAGGTGGATGGAAGATTACAAGATGAGGACACTGGAGTTGAGGGCTTGGTCCCAATGAGTTCCTTACTAATGTAGATTTCCCACCAAAACCTTGAAAACACGGCAAGTTGTTCCATGATAGCTTCGGGAATTGGCAAGAACAAGATATGTATCTATCACATCTTGTTGATCTTTCAACGGTGTCTTTCTTCTCCCCGTTTTCATGTGTTCTCTGATGGTGGCATTCATGTTGGAGATTCTTTGACTGCAATCCACAAATCGAGCTTTAGTACTTTGTTGGGAGGCCAACAAAGCTGTTGGTTGATCTTCCTGAATAAGAAACATGGGAAATATGGTGTACGTGAGACAAATACAAAAAAAAATTTAAAAAATAGAGTTCTGAGGAAAATAAAAGGGGAACTAATGACAAGACGATTGTGGAAATGCAATTAAGCCTGATGTATAAAATGCTCTGTTAGCCCAACTGGATGGGGCACTGGCAATGAGGGCAAGGTCACAGATTTGAGCCTTGTGTTGGCCACTTAGTTCTGAGTTATCGTAGGACACACTGAGTTCCTCATCCTTCATCAGTTAGAATTGACTCAAAGTACACAAGCGAGTGGACTGAGCTTAAGTCAAAAGGGGTTCTCAAGGTGGCCACTCAGTCATTTAAACTCTCCAAATTCCTACACACATTCCCTGCCCTGCTGTGTCCCAGGGGTATGGAGGGGATGGGCTCAGATGAAACATGTCAAAGCAGGTCAGGAATGATAAAGCACTCCATGAAGGTAAAAAGACATTGTTTACCAAGACATGTCTACTTCCTATGCTCTAAAAGCTAAAATGTGAAGAATATTCCATGTTGTATAACAGTGATATTTTCAGGTGAAAAGGAAAACAAAATTATATAATGCTAAATTGCTCAGTGACATTTACAATAAAGCTTTACATCATACTTGAAAAGTGCTGAATTCAGGCAAATTAAAAGGAGCATGGAAAGAACTAAGTCCCGAAAGGAAGTTCCAATTGTAACTTGCTCAAGGGTATGGCTTTTGCCTTAGGATGAGCTAATAATAATAAAAATATTGTAATTCTTGTGTAGGGTGAAAAAAAGTTTTTTATACTTCTAATTGATTCATTTTATAACTTTGACTTTTCATTGATTTCTCTCCTTCTCTAACATAGGACAATCTATCAAGAAATCTTCTTGGTTCTATCTTCAAAATATACTCAGAATGCTACTGCTTCTAACCACCTTCACAGATACCATGTTTAATCAAGTCATGTCAGCTTTTACCTAGTTATAGCAATAGCTTTCAACAAGTCTTTTAGCTTCTTCACTTTTTCTCTACAGGCTATGTTCAACACAGCAGGAAGAGTGTTCTTTGTAAGAAGTTAGCTTAAATCAAAACCCTCCAGCCATGGCCGGCGTGGCTCTGTTGGTTGGGCATCATCCTGTGCACCGAAAGGTTGCCAGTTCAATTCCCAGTCTGGGTCATGCTGATCAATGTTTTTTTTTGTTTGTTTTCTCTCTCTCTCTCTCTCTCTCTCTCTCTCTCTCTCTCTCTCTCTCAGAAATCAATATGAATAAATCTTTACCATAAATAAATAACTCTCCAACAACTTTCCATTTCACTCTGACTCAAAGCCCAAGTCTTTACTATTACTCTACCCAATCTGCCCCCAGTCCATTACCTTTCTGACCTCATTTCCTAGTACTCCTCCCCCTTTGCTCATTCTACTCCAGCCACCAGGACTCCCTTGCTATTTCTTAAACATGACCCCATGCTTCAATCTAATGACCTTTGCATTATGGAATGCTCTGTTTCCAAGTAATTCTTGGGCTAACTCCTCCCTTTCAAATCTTTGCTAAAATCTTATCTCTCTAATGAGGCCTTCCCAGAGTACCCTACTGTAAACTATTATACCTCATGATCTTGGTGCTCCTGGTCCCCTTTACACAACTCTATTTCCCCATATCTCTTAATATAGTCCAATATACTTATGTAATTTATTCATTTGTTATGATTATTTTTTATTGTCTGTCTCTTCCTCTCCCCTCCATTAGAATGTAAATTCCTTAAGGAAAGGAATCTTTATTTATTTATTTGTTTTTCAGTTATATCTCAAATATTCAGAAGAAAATTCTGGCACATAGAAGCTACTTAATAAATATGTTTGAATGTTTAAATATTTGTTAAAATAGAGGTATACATGTTACATGCATGCTGCCCTTCATTTCTCTAGTTGGGGTCACTGACAGTAAATCATATGAATGTTTGCAGGAGATTTTCAAGACTCCTGAATGACAGCATTTTTTCCAGCCTGGACACTCTTACCCACCTCTTAAATTCTATTTTTGCATTTGTGCTTCTTAGACTTAGATAACTCATATTTTAGACTAAAAAAGGATTATTGCAATATTGAATGTTTTGCAACTGTATGGCTATCTGAATCCATCAAACAACAGGTTGTATGTGGCTTTTTAAAATTATTTCTCCAAATTTTTCTTTCATTAATGAATACTCATCATGGCTTTTTTTTTTTTTGCTAGTTACTAAGCAAGAATTGCAACAGAATGATAAATGAAATAAATACTGGCTTGACTGAGAAAACCTATACTTATTAGGTATGAGTGCATATATGTTTATTGATTCAATCATGCTAATTATTAGATATTTATTAAACTACCATATGCCAATCATGGCTAGATAATGGGGATGCAATGGTGAATGAAATAAAGTCAAGCAATGGGCACACAAACAAACAAACATGTCTTGCAACTTTTGGGAGGTGCAATAAAGAATTGAACAAAGTAAGTTATAAAGAATAACATAGGATTAGAAGAAGCCTAGTTATCTTCTTTGTATAGGACAGTAAAAAGCTAAATCTGAGACAGTAATATTTGGTAAAGATCCAAGAGTCAACTCTGCAAATAATGTTATGTGTGTTTGTGTTGTGTGGGGTAAGAAGAGACAACTAACTAGACAGGGGGGCAGGGAGAAAGGAAGGAGGTTTGTAGGGATAGGGAACGACAGCTGGGACTTCTGAAATACTTGCCATGTTTTAGAAACTGAAAAGACATTGATGCCACTCAAGTAGAGCTTGGAAACCCTTCACTGTATCTCAGTTTGCTTAACTGCAAAATAGAGGTTGTTATTTTATCCTATTTTATTTAGTAAATTGAATCTGCCTACTTTCTAAGTGTGAATGAAGCAAATATACATATATGTTTTTCCCTCATATTGAAAATAGCAAATGAAAATCATGTAGAAAGAGGTGATGAACACACAAGTTATTCTGACTAATGTAGTATCTGTGGTCTACCATAAAACATTTAGTTCTGAGAGAAAATGTCTTACCTAATTATCATTATCTAACACTAGAGGCCCAGTGCATGAAATTTGTACACAGGCAGGGTCCCTAGCGGCTGCCAGAATATGGCCCTGGGAAGTTTTCAATTTGTCATGCTACTGGGTACAAATACAATAATTAAGGAGCTTTATTCACTCGGTACTTGGGAAACTACAAGTACTTCTCTCAGTGTTTTCCAGGATGAATCCCTGCCCAGCCTGTGCTCTTGGCATAAATGTGGCAACACAGAGACACTCATCTTTACTCTGTGATTCTTGGTCATGCTGAACGCTGTCATCACAATAGGCAAAGTACCTCTCTGATAGCCCAGAGTGAATACTCAAATTCAATTAGACTTTGAGTGCCAACTCCAAGAGTGTATCATAGTACCTAGTGGATTTCAAGCCTAACAGATTGGCATTTGAAAACTGGCTCTTGCTCCTACTTGACTAGGGAACTTAGACAAGCTACTGACCCTCAAAACCTCATTTCCTTCTCTGGAAATGGGAAAATGGAAAATACCTAATTCTCTTGGTTATATATAAAGCCACTTTGCAAACTAAAAGTGTGTTATAGAGATTATGGGCAAAACATGGTTGTTTTTTTCCCCTCGTAATCTGGCTCTATGATTCCAGTACAATACCATGTGGAGGCAAGAATTTTGATAATGACTTTGAATTAATATGGTCATAAATAGCAAAAGAAAACTCCTCCCTGAATTCTGTTTTCATATTAACTAGAAACTTCTTTTTCTCCTTCTCTAAAACAGGGATAATGGTATCTGTCTAGTGGGGTTGCCGCTAAGAGAAGCAATGATAGGTGTGAAGCAGTTGTACAGCCCCTGAAATGTAGTACATACATGGTTTTAGAGATGGTGATGATGGGAATAAAAATCAGCTTATTTTAATTTC